CCCCCCCCCCCCCCCCCCCCCCCCCTCCTCCTCCTCCTTTCACTGAGCAGTGCTCCACCTTCCTTGCATCTGAACAGTTGCAGAGGGGAGTGGAAAACAAAAGAACTATAATGGAAGGAAGGGGAGGCTAAAAAACAAAGAGAAGGCAACAAAAAGCAGCTGGTCTAATGGCCAAACTAATCTTGGATGACAAATGGCTGACAGTGCCACCACACACACACTTTGTGTTGTCTGCTGCTCCCTCGCTAACCTTGCCTGGGGCATGAGAACAGGGCACAGTGACGATTGGCTTTCTAACAGCATGAGTTCAGAGCGAGGACCACAGTCTGTGTGATGTGGATGTGTAGGGAGGGTGCAGGTGGTGATGTGCACTTTAGATTTCGGGAGAGGTAGAAATGTAGTAATGGACAATGCATCGATAAGTTGACCCACAGAAAATGAATTATTGACAGTTTGATAATAATTGTAGTCATTTATAGTCTTTGTCACAAGGACAAATGACCCATTGTATTGACAAACATTGCCAGCCTTTGAGATTTGGACCGATTGTCGGACAAAAGCAATTTGAAGACATCGCCTTTGGTTTCCGGGACGTTATACACTAAACAAAATGTATATGAATGAAAAGAGTCCTCTGCTGCTGCCTTCGGTGGATGACTTCACCGAGAGGCAGGGGTGGGAAACAGATAGCTGGTTCGACAAGGGCACGGCGTGACAGGACTGTACGTCTCCCCCAGCTGAGTCAGCAGTAGTCGTCCCTGGAGCTCATAACAACACACACACACACATACACGCACACACACCCATATACTGCATGTCTCTGTCATTAGCTGCATGTCTCATAGACAGAGACAAAGATATGAACCTTATCTCACTGCTGTAAAAGTAAATGCAGCCTAATTCCTTTGGGTCCATGCAAACCTCACTCACTGAAATCCTCTCTTTGAGTAGCACATGCCCGCTCCCTGTAGGCCTTGAAAAGTTGCTCTGAAATGTTTTGCAGCTTGCTACATCAGCTCCTCTCAGCCGGGATTCACAGGGCGCACACTGCTTAATTCAAATGTCGACACAATTTTGTGAGAAAAACAAACCAAAAGCTATATAGAAACTTTTTTTAAATGACTCCCGCAGCACGATCTGCCGTTGTCTGTGCAGACCCAGAACTCAGACGTGTGTCTCAACAAGTGTCGAGTCCTTGAGGGGAATTCCAAATCTTTATGCAATAATGATTTTGCATAACTCAAGTCTGTCGGTTGTCAAGTCTAACTAAGGTCACCCTCAGGCTGAGTTCATTTGAACGAGGCCAGTCCATCTGCCAACGCAGAGGGCTCTGAGGGGAAGAAAAAAGGATATTCTTTTTAACCTACCTTAACTGTCACCGGAACATCATGCAAACATCATCCAGCAAGGCTGCCAGTCAAATATGTACTCAGATATAGATCGATAAAACGATAGCCGTCGTAATAACTTCCTCATAATGTTTTAAACCGTTGCAGCGTGTTTTTTGCTGTCTGAGAAACCTTCAAACTCAGGAATCTAATACATCAACTGGACTCTCTGAATCATATTTCACTGTCTCACTGGTCTCACTTTTATTGAGCCCTCGTTTCGAATCTATGGCTCTGCTCGAACACACTTCTTGTTTCTCCACAGCAAAGTCAAATACAGTCTTTCTGCGTCGCACTGTGACCTCCTCGGAGCTCTGAAGTGTATGGACCAACGACAGAGAAGTGGGTTATGCTGCAGCAGTGGTTTGATAAGTTTCTACGGACTTTTGGTGCTTTTTGAATCCATCGTAACTGCCGGCTGTGAAGGAGCAGCTTTAAAAAACAACAGAGGGTGATATTCAACACTCAAAAGATAGATTTTCAGCGGAATATTCCTTAAGGGTTTGTCTTTAAACACTGTCTTGACCAAACAGCAAATGTATTAATGATGATATTATTTTCCAGATGAGTTTGGATAACGGGCAGAAAAACAAGGAGACGGGTACGAGGAGACGGAAAGCTCTTTCATCACGGCTCCCAGGGGACGGTCCATCGGTACGTGCTAAATTACAAAATAAATAAACCCTGAATGTAGAATTGGTGCAACAACCAGATATGCAAACAACACACAAATCAACACATTTACATGAGCAGCGCAAACTAAAGCTGCTGCTGGCAGTTTATTATTCTCTGCCGTGCTGCAGAGAGATAACCGAACGATGAGAGATTTCAAATGAGCCTCGAGAAAATGAGAAAGTGAGAGTAATGAAATGGTAGTGAGAGAGAGGAGGAGGAGGGGGAGGATCGGATGAATGGGGCAGAGGAGAGTCGAGGGAAGCATAGAGTGAAAATGGAAAAGGCCGGAGAGCTGCTGGATTTAGAAATAGAAATTCAGCGCTGCGTTTACAGTGAGGGTGAGAGGAGGCAGACAGAAAGAGTATTTCTGCGGGGAGAGGGGCACGATAAGATGGAGCAGTGCAACCAAAGCACATAAACATATGATCATCCATAATACGGTAGATGTGTGTGCTATGGATATTTTTGTGTCTCTCTATCTGATCTACTTCACTCAGCATTCTCCCCGACTCTGATGTTAAAGCGCTGGCTTTCAGCTTTCAGCTTTCATTTGAGGGTTTTTACATCCATAATGGGTGTTAGCATCTGTCCTTTTGTTAGCACAACGCAGCAGGATAATGATACTTAACATGCAGACGAGGCAACAGAGGATTTTTTTTAAGGACGAACGGGGACATGTTTCTGACTGGCCAAGTCGGCCACGCGACCCCACTGATTATGCGTTTCACCTGCTGGAGACCAGACGCAAGGCAGAAAACCTTGCGCCTGGAAAATCCCTCGCTGCACAATCATCCAACCATGGTAAGTACAGTGGATCAACGCTGAACAAGGAGGTTTTATTTCTTAACTGTGATGGATGTTTTCTCTTCCAAATAAGATTTGCTAATCTGCTGGCATGCTTACAGCCTCTGTGATGGTCTGACTGCTCGTGTTTCTTTCCCTGTAGGACTTTGTTTTAATGATGTGTTATATTATTCTCAGATCTCAGCCATACGCCCCCGAGCTCGCCCTGATCTACGAAGCCAGTGGTGGAGTCAGACTGCAAGATTAGTGAGTACAGTCTTCTTTTTATTATTATTAATGGTTAAAACTACTAAAATTGTTTAAATAATAATTGATATCCCTTTATATTTGACAGCTTTATTTAAGTGTATCCTTCTTATCCAATCACTTTTCGCGCCTTAAAACTGAGAGACTGTGTTTAAAAAGGATGCACTTCCTACACTGTTCATCTGACGTGGATGTAAACACTCCTTGGTATATTTACTCAAGTATTGTACTTAAGTGCAGTTGTGAGGTACTTACTTGAGTATTTCAATTGTATGCTATTTTATAGTAGTATTATACTTTTTATTCCACTACTTCCACCCTTTTGAGAGCTTTACAGTATATACTTTACAGATTAAGATTTTGCGATTAACTATCCTATAATATAATAAGTAGTTAAAATGTGTTTCACCAGCTGTAACAAAATATTTTTCCAGAACTGTACTTTTACAAGTACTTTATTGGACGACTGCTTGTTTGTATGTTTAGGATCACTAAACGTTCATCCAACATGGATGAGAAGAAGCTTCAAATGAAATCCTAAAGTCACTTCAACCTCATAGCTATCCTATCATCTCAAATCCAATGTACTGGACCGCAGAGCCAACACAACAAAACAATGTGTCACTGCCAAAACACTGATGGACTGCACTGTTTCCGTCCTGCAGGGCGACTGATGCACCCCTCTTGGCAAACAATAAAAGCAGAAACGAGGTCCAGTGATGAGAAGCTTCATATTCCACTTTGCATCTGTGTTGTTTTAGTTTGAAATAATGAAAAAATTGCAAAGTGGGTTACATTCCGCCTTTGAGAATGTGTTTATTGGAGGCTTCAAATGTGTGTGCTGTTATTCTACGTCTTTATTTTACTGCTAATGGGACGGCAGCGTCTGTTGTCTGTGAGTTTAGTTCAAAGCGACTCGTTCTGTTCCTCCTACTGTATTCATCTACACCTCACGTAACCAACAAACACCTCACACAAACACGTTTTTTTTGTTGCACTTCATATTGCATGCATACAATCTGTTCTCTCACACAAACAGCAGAGACACTCAACACACACACACACACACACACGGCCACTTATCCCATCATTGTCAACACTGAGCACGCAAACAAGTGACATATAGAAAAATTGCCTCCCATTACAGATATTCTTGTTCGGCAAACAGACTGAAATAACCGGAGGACAATGAGTGAAGTGTCTGTGAGTGTGAATGAGCAGAGACGGATGTAGAGGACGAAGAGGAAACGCGAACCGGTTTCAAACAGTAGCCAATTAAGTCATGAGCTCTTGCAAATTAATATCTTAATGTGTAATACTTTTAATAATGCACAGCAGCAGAAAGAAACGGACGTGTTTCAGCCCTCGGCTTTCCTCAGCGTTTCTGAGGCATTTGTGGGCGTAACTTCTCTTAAACAGCAGCCAGGAACCTGCTGGTGATTACCAACCAGCTGATGCAGATCATCAGAGACTCTTTATCCCAAACCAGATACTAGTAAGAACAATAGTAGCAAGAACATGTCATAAGATGAAACATATCATATTCTGTTCCGTTCAGCTCTTAAATAAATGCCAGAATCACCGTTAGTTATTTTCCTCAACTCATTCAGCCCGTACAGTCTTCATTTCAAACCCATCATATATAAATCCCAGTCCACTCTCAGATTCTCAACTGGCCGTGATGTTGACTCAAAGGTCCACAAAACACAATGTTATTAGTCTTTCACTCGCCTTTGTATACATCTCAGATTAAATTCAACTCGGCAGACGGCTCGGAGGCATCCATTTTGTTTGTTTGTTTTTAGAAGCAGTTCTGCAGATATTTATCAGGATCCCCTGCTGAGAGGAACTAAACCAGCTCCACCGCCCGAGCACAAAGTCTGCCCTCGCTTCACGCATAATGATTCTCTAATCTCCTACTGGCCCGACAGAGGAGGCCTACAGAGAGTGAGAAAAAAAAATAGCGGGGGGGGGGGGGGGCAGCGGGGAGGGGGGACAGGGGGGAGTGCAGTGGGGGCGGGCATTATCGGGAGAAATGAAAATGCTATCAGCCAGTTCGGTGTCACCTTGGCCATTGGCTACAATGCAGAGCCACAGAAAGGACGAACTGTAGAGGGGAATATTTAAGATGTGGCCAGAAAACATCAGGCCTACTTTTGTGCTCTCAGGAATATTTGCAAAATCTCTGCACCACAAACCTTAAGCATTGAAGCAATTAATCGTTGAACTAGCTTGAAGGTACTGTAATTTGGTGTGTCACCAACATAATTGGAATCCCTAAAGAGTTGAAGCATCTTCCATTAGTATCCATCTCACTATCTATGTTCCCTACTAAACAAATGAGTTTCTACAAGGGCAACTGCGGTAACTTTTCAAACTCATGTCTTTAACAAAGTTAAATACATACAAAAAAACTACAGCTCCCAAAGCATTTCATCAGCATAGTACTGCGTGAAATAAATAATCGGAACTGTTGGTTTCTCCCTTATTCATGATATCCAACACTGTATTCCTGTGTCATCTGTCCAGATGTTGAGCTGTAATGTGTGCTGACAAAAACAAGTCCATGGCCCTGGGTGTTCTGCTTCGGTTACCAGCCAGAAACATTGGACTGCCCTCAATCTGTGCAGCTGCTGATGTTTAAGGAATGTACTATCTCTGTCTACACATACGTGTCCTAAAAATATAGTACATAAATACTACAATATGCGTTGTTATATAAGGTGTAGAAGCTCTGTGAGGATACAGTACAGGTCAGGGGAGATATAGTGCCAACAACCATCAAAGAATAACTGGACAGTGGACATTTCAGTCTGAAGATGTACTGCACCAGATACAGCTAAAAGCTCATTTCCATCTGTAGTTTTTACAGTCCACCTACCTTAAAAGGCAGAAGTAGAAAGCAGGTATAGCCACAGTTTTATGAGAAAAACATTGAATATGTGAAGATTTAGTTTTGGGGATTTCTGGTAAGTTTACAGGGATTGTTGTTGCTACTGGCAGGAAATATGTTTCAAAAGTTATGCAAGAGAACGCAAAAGAAGGTCTTTCATGATTTCATCAATTGTTTTCCTATACACGTCCCTTCCCAGGGATCCATACTGTACCATTCGGGCAATAATGAGTCAATTAAATAAGCACAATAAATGACAGAGCACGAATGAGGAAATACAGGAGCGGGGGAAAGCAGAAATAAACAATCAGACGAGCACGAGGAGGCGACAGTGTGTACTTACTGAGCACGTAGAGGGAGAGAGCGAGGCCCGCCAAGCAGAAACCCTCAAAGAAGCGCAAGGTGCTGAACATGGTGACGTTCACAGAGAAGGCAACACTCAGACCAAACACCAGCATGAAAAGCACCGAGAGAATCAACACCGGGTGTCGACCAAACCTTTAGAAACAGAGAGAAGCAAGAAAGAGAAAGACGTAGCAAAGTGTTTAACAGCTGTCGCAAACTGAGGAAAAGGAGCTTTTGCTTTGAAACTGATCATTGCAGTCATTGTTTGCTTCAGACTTTGTGGACTTCCTGGTTAAAGGGGGGGGGTCAATGGGTCAGGTCAGGGCTGAGGCCTGGACATTTCTTTACATTGTTTCCATGGTTACTGATCCCAAACACAATGTGGGGACATTTTTTCCCACGAGGCAGCTCCTGGGGTTCACAGGCTGCAGACACGACCACAGTGAATTTAATTGACAATGGCGTGCCACCCAATTACAAATAAACATATTTTCCCACTTCGCCATGCAGCTAGGTTTAGTTTGTGGTGCTCACGACTATTAAAAAAACATTTCAGTAATTTAGTAGCACTTCTGTCTGAAAACAATCTCCTGGTAACTCCTGGAAGTTTTCATTGGAACAAGATCTGTGGGTTAGCCAGACTGACAAAAGTTACGACGAGTTGTTAGCCACACGAGGAGTGTAGCTTTAAGGATGGCAATGTCGGTAATCCAATGGATCCAGACTGAAATATGTCAACAGATATCGGATGGATTGCCATTTAAATTTGGTTCAGATATATTACCCCAAGAGAGACTCTTAAAGATTTTGATTATCCCTTAACATTTCTTCTTGTGCCATTAGCAGTTCAAGGTTTTTACTTATCCAGTTATATATATATATCCACATCTATGAGATGTATTGGCACACAACTTTTGATTCAGATTGAAATTTCTCTGCACAGGATGAATCTTCCACTTCTTTGGTTTATGACCTAATACTTTCAAAACTGATAACTGCTGATTCAAAGTTTTAAGCATATAAACAAAACTCCATCTACCTCAATTGTTTTGTGATGTAGGCATAAGTATCAGAGAAAACCTACACAAATTAAACCAAAACTATCTTCGCAGTTAGATTTGAGTAGATTTAAGTGAGAAAATGTTTTTTTTTGTACCTTAGATGAATAGATATTTTAGGGCATACTAACAGAAGCAGTAAAGGAGCACAAAACAGACATAAAAGAGGCAGCTTACCAGTCAGCCATGACACCCATCACTAGGTAGCCAAATATGGAGCCCACCAGCAAAGAGAACTTGGCAATGTGCACCTTCCAGGCTGAGTCACACACCAGGTTCCACTGAAACGAGAGACAAAACACAGAGAGAGGAATATTAGTCAGCTTTTCAGAGACAACCACCCACAACAAGATAAAAGGGAATCAAACATCAGCAGCTGAGAAGTTTTAATCTGAAAGCTGCACAGAAACACAGAGAAATATGGGTTTTTCTCTTCGGGAGTCTGTCAAACTCTCTGACTTACTGTTTTACTAGTTAAAACGAATGTATTTAATCACATCACAGCAGAGCCAATCTGGGGACAAAGAAAACCTGTAGCCTACATAATTCATGAAGGTTGATGAGTGTGCAAACATGCTGCAAACGCTTTTGAAATATTCAAACATGCATCTCGGAAGGAAAAACGAGAAAGCGTGTGAGAGAATGTGGGCGCGTGTCTATAATAACAGAAATCAATAGCTTTCCACTCTTTCCACCGAAGCCCATGGGTCAGTGCACACACCGCCGCAGCCCTCAGCATCTGAAACTCAGCCAAGGACACATGTGGAAGCACGATGTGTACTCATATATGTGCACGACCCTGAAAGGATCTGCAGGAGCGCAGCAGAGCGATTCAGCCGTGTGAGGAAGCGTTGGTGTTTAACAATGATTTACAGAACTCCATGCTGAGCCTCCGACTGTGCCGAGGAGCCGAGAAGGGGATGATTATTGGTTATGACTGATGATTTTGGTTGTGAAATGGCCGGTGGTGATGTGGTGAACTCAGTCAGTGTGGCTTTATTGCGTACGGGTCATTAGCACCAGCGTTATCTGAGAAAACAGATATCAGTCATGCACAGAGGCCAGAGCCGGGTGGAAACTCGGCGTTGCTGTTTATCGACTTTCAGTGGAATGGCACCTTGATGATATGGCCGTCCAGTTTTTATCATGTTACAAAATGCTGTTGTCGAAATTATTCAAAGCACAGCTCAGTTATCAAAGTTGTGGGTTTTACACAAGTGCATGGCAGGATTAACTTGCTCGGGGCCCCGTTTCATCCGGTCTCTCAACATGTAGGCTACAGGTTTTCTTTGGCCCCAGATTGGCTCTGCTGTAATGTGATTAAATACATTCGTTTTAACTAGTAACATATAAGCAAACAATTGAAATATTAAAGGTTTTGAAACTGGATTTTGACTTATTCGAAACAGGGTTTCAATATTCCCAAATAAATGCACAATTAAATTAACACAAACCAGCACACGGTAAATCTGGAGCTCTGGGCGTTGTTAAGCAGATTGGTATATTGGCAACATTAAATACAGTTCCTTCTTTAATAACGTTATTAATGTCAGTGTCTCTGTTACTTGTTACATAAGTCAAGGCAGCATAGAGGGAAAAGGGTGCATCCCCTGGTTCTCTGGCTCTGGGACAGTTTCCCCACTCTGTGTGATGTAATGCATACCAGTGCAGCACTGAACTTTGATTTGGTATTAATTGGCCATATTGTGATTGTCTTATTAATAACACGATACTGACTTCAACCATAATTCTGAAAACCAAGCTACAGCATAGTCATCAGCTGCTGTCTCTGACACACGTCCTCTCATATTGAGGTCAGTGGGTAACTTGTCAATAAGCTGTGCTACTGGTGTATCAGCCTCTGCTCTGCTCTGTGAGAGGCAGTGATGATGAAGACACAGGGTGGTGAGGATGAGGAGGATGATGATGGTGAACAGAGAGCTCTATCAGAGATAACGCTGGTCTATCTGGAGCTCAGTCGTTACCTTGGTAACCACATTCTGACTAAGTCCCGTCTGCAGCTCCAGCCTCAACTCCTTGCAGTCGCACGGCATACCGCCGCTGTCGCCGTATGCGCCCTCGGTTCCGTTGCCTGTGAGCTGCAGCGCGGGCGCGCCGCCGGCGACGGTGACCGGCGGGTATGCCGCGGTCCAGTTACTGTCGTTCGCGAGGGGTTGCATGCACGTTCCATTGGGCTGAGCCAGGAGGAAATAATCCGAAAACTGACTAAAGCCGATGAACAATGCCGGTATCCAGGTCAGGACCACGAGCTGCTTCTGATGTTTTCCAAAACCCCCCAGAGATGGCAGGACCGTGCCATCGATGTGCGGCAGTAGCCTTGGCACCGGGTGCTCCAGCGGGGTGAAGCCATTCTCGGGCGGGTGGTCCTGCGCCTCCGGGCGGCCGGCTGCCATCACGGCCCGGCCACAAAGAGAGAAGCTGGGCGCAACAGCGGGCGAAGCAAAAAGCCCCCGCTCTGTTGCCGTCCGCGCACTCTGCGTTAAGCCCTTTGACACAAAGGAAGCCCACAGCGCAGATAAATCCTGTGTGTAGCCAACAAAAGCCCGATCCAAAAATAGGGGGTCTTTGGTCCGTGCAGGCGTGCAGAGGCACCAAAATCACCGAGCAGTCGTCTTCATGGCGAGGGGGGCTTGAAGCGACCAGGGGATGTCCAAGTGGAGAAGCGGTGTCAGGAGGAGAGGGCTCTGGAGAGTCTCCCGGGGAGGAGTGGACGCGGACAGGCAGGCATGCTCACCAGCACGGGCTTTGTATTCCATGAGTACAGCTCCGACAGTGAGATCCATCCATGTGAAGCTGAAGTGGGCCAGGCCTGCTGGTGATGTAGAAGTAGAATATGGGGCTACATCCACACTGGGGTGCTCTAGACATCTGCTGGTCCTTCATCCACGAACGCCACAGGTCTCATACCTGCCCAAACGGTGACCTCCTGGAGATGCGCATCACTTAGCTCTTCTCAAGCCCAGAATATCCGAGCCCCAGGTCATCACCGGTCCACTTTGACGGCGTGGAGTTCAGAGACGTGGTGGAACACGCTGTTCGGTTTTGTCGACGTCCAGTCGATGGGACACGGTGCTGAAGTGGCGCTGGGAGTGGAGATGGAGGGAGACTAAGCCCCGCCCTCCCTCGGTCGCGCTATGCGCTGCGATTGGAGAGCCTTCAAAGGGGCGACTGCACCACTGATGGGCATCTGCAAGCCACAATGATTCCCTTTGTGCAGCCTCTGCCCTTTCCACCAAATATGAAGCTTGTTATGAATCAATCATCCACGTTTCCCGTCGACACAAGATGATTTATGATGAAATGATAAAGCGGTGATATTGCTGCAGTTCTTTTTTTTATAAAGGCCGATTGTGGTGGTGCATTTACTGAACGTCCCACTGAGGTTTTACGTCATGCGGTTTTTTTTTATCCACAGTCGTCATATAAATAGGCAGTATTAGGTACTGGTTTTAGGAGACAATAGGAGGGTGTCAGTGTTTTTGGGTGGCGTGCTGCCTGTCAGCCGCGAGGGGGCGACAAACAATCAAAATACCCGCCCTCACATCGGTTTGTCTCAATTAATCATATCAGCATAATAACGAGACAGAAAATAGGTTATACAACGTGCAATGAAGCGAGGAAGTGAGATTTAAATGTCTCCTAACGGATATAAATGGCGAGCTTGTTAATGTGGCTGCAGCTGCTCCCAAAGGACTGAGTGTGAGTGACCTTGAGACACAAGTGATTGACAGATTTTCCCTCTGCAACAGAAAGGCCTCAAGACAATGTGAGAATTACTGCACACACACACACACACACACACACACACACACACACACACACACAC